ACAATCCTACTTTTACAGTTCTATTACGTATTACAGCTTTTTGTAGCTGCTTAGTTCAAACATAGACAATAGCTGTTTTTATAAATGAAAAAAAGTGCTGCACCCTCTGTGTAAATCTTATAACTTTTTAATGCTTTTGCATATCATAGAACCAACTTTTTAGTTTAAACAGCTGACAAAATTCTTTAATTCCCTTTAAATATGAATACTCATAAGGTTAACATGGGGAACTACAGAGCCACTGAGGCGGAGCCCGAAAGGATTTTTGAGATAAGAATATGCCTATATGTTAATCGGGAATGTGAGCTATCATCGTGCCAAATTTCAGCCCAATCCATCCAGTAGTTAATGCGTGATTGAACTTCAAACAAACACACAAACTTTCACATTTATAATATTATATAGTAAGATTAAAATCAGGTGTGATTATCATCAATATATATAATTCCGTAAGTCAAATTTTTGTAAAGAAATTGTGAGTGACTGGATGGCCGTAGAAGGATGGGTGGGGTCTTATTTTAAAGGTCTTGACGTGAATTTTGAGGGAAAACTATTCATTTTTCTTAATTATGCGCCAAAAGGGTGTAACAGAATAAAATAATTTACATTTAAATAGCATGGGAATCTAATTTTATGTATTTTTATTTAGTGTAAACACAGCTGTGATTATATAAATTGAAAAAAGTTATAACTACACCTGAATGTGCATATGTTATTATTTTGTTATTGTAAAATTGTTTGTGAAGCAGTAAACAACACAAAGTTAAAATTAGATCAAGTCTTTTGAACTGTAAACAATTTGATACTTTTAAGCTTAATACTTTACAATGGATTGTTTTTTTGCACAGTAATGTATAATGTCGAAAGACTACCACGCAGAGTTATTGTTCCTCGAAATGAAAACAACAGGCACCAGATTTGGCACAATATTAATGGAAGAATAAATGAGCATCGGATGAACATGAATTTATTCCTGTGTATAGATTACCACTTTTAAATGAGATTGCATTACACAGGGTAGGACCAAAGAACGATTTGATTTGGTAAAGTTTTGGCGCAAGGACAAACCTTCACAAAAGTGGGCATTTATTTAAAAAAAAACCCAGTGTTTACCCATGGTCAACTATATGTTGCTTTTAGAAAAGTAAAGAGGCCAGATTATGTTAAAATAGTACTAGAACCATATAAAGACCAAGTAATCGACCGAAATGGATACTACAAAAAACAAATTGTTTCAGAGAGATTTTGTCGTAGAATTAGCAGTTTACAATTTCGATGATGACATTATCTCTATGTGTTTTTCTAAGATAATTAGTCTATATTTAAAGAAATCTATATAGATTTAATTAATAGTCTTAAAGATTGTTTATTAGAAAATGTTCCATAGTTGTAAATTATGATTAGAAAGTTTATATTATAAACACACAGCATGTCCTTTGGAATTTTTATTTTAAATAGAGCAGACATCAAAATGCATTATGGAGGTATGTAATAACTATTATACATATCATAATTTACAAAAATGTTAAATGATAATTCAAGGTAGGGTAATCCATGAGACTAATAATTTGTACAAAATAATTACCATAATATAGGGGCTATTGCCCCTACAAGCCACTAGTTCGATTGTATAACTGTAATATTTTTTGTTTATTTCAGCTTAACTTAAACCAATCAACAGTTTTATTAATACTGTACTTATGAAGTCAAACGGGCCCCACTAGAAAATCAGGCCATGCTGCAGGATCCATGACGTCACACTAGTGCACTAGTGGATAGATTAATTGATAACTTCATTGACATTGCCATATGTTTTAGGAAAATAAGCAAGTGGCTGTTTGTAAGATTTTAATGGTAAGAGTAATTGGTAAGATTTTAATGGTACAACTATCCACCACTGTGACGTAGTGTTGCGCTGCCCGTGCTGCAGCATGACCTGTTTTTCTATAGTGGGGCCTCGGGTGAAGTCTGTGGGTAAATAAATTTATGTTCATAAATTTAAATTTAAATCAATTAAGTGCGATTTAATGATTTAATTTTCTAAATACAGTTTTGAATCAGCTAATTCTCACTCACCCTCAATAAATAAACTCAGACACATCTATTTTTGTGCTCCTTTAAAAAATTCCTTACAAAAATACCCACACCAACTTTCTGCATTGATCATTGGCAGAAAGCAGCCTTATTTATATAACCAATGAGCATAATCGTCTCCAACTCCAAATATTTAAAATATATATCATATTTATTGTGCTCTTTATTGTTATAAATATTATTTATTGTTTTCTAGATTATTCCATGTGCCTGTTTGCCATATACATACTCTTATTATTATTAAATTAGGTGTTATTTCTCGTTACTCTTAGTTCTTTCATTGTACAAGTCTTCACATGCACTGTATTCTAACATAGATAAAACATACTCCCTTAGTAGATTTCTCATCCTTATGGAACAGCTGAAGACAATGTTATTGTTAGTCCTTACGGTTTTCTGCAGATGTCGTGTTTTGTTTACAATTTGTTTCCCGTTATTACAGCCATTTAAAACCTCGTTACCCCAATTAATACGATCTAATCATAAACAATAACTTGTCCCCTAGTTATATAACCAAACAGTAAAGCACAAATCAAGAAATTAACCCTAAAATAATAGAAACAAAGTTTCGTCGACACTAGCGCCCATGTGTCACGTACATGAACTAGACACGAAAAGCGTGCTTCAAAATTTACAATGGGATGAGAAGTCTACTTGTGTTGGTTAGTCTATGATTCTAATTACTTGTATTGTTACCATAGACTAACCAACACAAGTAGACTTCTCATCCCATTGTAAATTTTGAAGCACGTTTTTCGTGTCTAGTTCATGTACGTGACACATGAGCGCTAGTGTCGACAAAACTTTGTTTCTATTATTTTAGGGTTAATTTCTTGATTTGTGCTTTACTGTTTGGTTGTATAACTAGGGGACGAGTTATTGTTTATGATTAGATCGTGTTATTTGGTTAAACGAGGTTTTAAATGGCTGTAATAACGGGAAACAAATTGTAATCAAAACACGACCTCTACATAAACCGTACAGAACTAACAATAAAATTCTCTTCAGCTGTTCCATAAGGATGAGAAATCTACTAAGGGAGTATGTTTATCTATGTTGTTACTTTAGATTTTACACTCATCAATTGTTACCACATTGTTACCATACATAGGCTATTTGCAGTGACGTAGCCAGGATTTCAAAGGGGGGGGGGTCGATCGACCAGGCCCAGGTAGAAGGGGGGTCCGGGAAATGTTTTGTAAATATAGGCCCTAAAACGGTCTTCTGGTATTGAAAATAATCAACCCCAACGTCAATAAAGTATTATAATATAATGTATATAATGATTATTATAAAATTGTACGTTTGATTTAATTTAACAAAAAAAAATATATTTAGGATCGGAAGAGGGGTCCGGACCCCCATAGTCGGGGGGCAAACTGTATTCCGTGGGATTTTTTGTGAAGGGAATGTGTGACTATGTGGAATCTCTTTATTATATGTCACATAATGGTGTAGTACCGGGTGTTTACCCTAGAATTGCGGGGTTTGGTATTTATGACATCTTAAATCCAAGATGGCCGCCATGTGTGACATCTATTCATTAAATTAATGATAACTCTTTCCAGAGTAAAATAATCGAATTTTAATTTATACCATTGAATTCAGCTCAAAAAATCAAACAATTTGGTGTTTTGAATCATTGCTCTATGACCATTGGTTACCGAGATATTGAAGGCGGAAAACACAGAACATTGTCCCCAAGCAAGACCCCACTACCCCCATGTTATCCTTATGGGGAAAAAATAAAATTGTATATCTAGCTTATTACTCAGCATATCTTAATAATAATTGGTATGTGGCTTCATTTAGTGGAGATCTACTTGATTATGGCCTAAAATCCCCCATTTTTACATTTCCGTGGCAGAAAACCTGCATACTCACTTCCCATGGTATTCTTATGGTCAATATTTTTGCATGCTTGTCCATGAACATACTTTGAGAAATGATGATGTGTGGCTACATTTTAATTATTTATTGAAGCATAAGAATACCATGGGAAGTGAGTATGCAGGTTTGCTGCCACGGAAATGTAAAAATGGGGGATTTTAGGCCATAATCAAGTAGATCTCTACTAAATGAAGCCACATACCAATTTTTATTAAGATATGCTGAGTAATAAGCTAGTACAATTTTATTTTTTCCCCATAAGGATAACATGGGGGTAGTGGGGTCTTGCTTGGGGACAATGTTCTGTGTTTTCCGCCTTCAATATCTCGGTAACCAATGGTCATAGAGCAATGATTCAAAACACCAAATTGTTTGATTTTTTGAGCTGAATTCAATGGTATAAATTAAAATTCGATTATTTTACTCTGGAAAGAGTTATTATTAATTTAATGAATAGATGTCACACATGGCGGCCATCTTGGATTTAAGACGTCATAAATTCCAAACCCCGCAATTCGAGGGTAAACACCCGGTACTACACCATTATGTGACATATAATAAAGAGATTCCACATAGTCACACATTCCCTTCACAAAAAATCCCACGGAAGCTGGATATGTGCAGTTTGCTCCTGGACTACCAGCCCCCCTGGCTACGTCACTGCTATTTGGTCATAATGAGCATTTCTCAACTTGTAATCATAATCTTTAAAATTGCCGTTAAATCCGTTGGCAAATAAATAAATAAACCTAATGTTATTTAAATAAATTTATAATTGAAAATTCAATCAGGTAAATGGAAATTAGTCTTAGGTTTGCTGTGCGGGGTATTTTCTTTTAGGCACTGTGACATTATGCACTATGATGCCACCATTTGCACATTGTTAAATTTAATGCCGCTGCCGCCTGCCCAAGCTAATCGTCTGGTGACTGGACGAAGTTTTCGTCTGCTGCTTGATTTTGTTCTTTGTTGACTTGTTCTTGTTGTCGTCGTGTTGTCTTGTCATACCGACCGACTGACGTTGACGGTTGACGAAAGAATAGACACTCGGAATCTTGGTATCATTTCATTTTCTAATTTTCGTGGTTCCTACCATTAAGGACAAAACCATAAAAAGGATCATTGTATTGTTTTGTACGATCATTGACGATTGACTGCACGATTGATGCACCTGCAACACCCTACTTACGACCTGTTTGTTTTCGTTTAAATTTTATCACTCAGGAGTCAATACTTGTCTCATGGGTCTCAAACATTCACACTCAATTCTACGAAAACATTTAAGGAAGTCAACACTAGCCTATAAGTTGTGTTTAGGTATTGTTAAAATTACATTTGTGTCAACCCAAGGCTAGCCCAACGATGTAAAGAACTAGCCTCATAAGCTGGTCAGAAAATACTTTATTTAAATAGGCCTACAATTATTTATATTACAGAGGACATTGTCACTAGGCTGCAATTAAATTAAGTAGGTTTTAGGTAAATATAGTTAGGCCTATAGATAAGTAAACTGGCAGTAATGGTTCGTCAAAAACCAGGACAGAAGCTAGAGAAGCCTAAAAATACCAAGGAGAAACCTTCAATAACCTCAAGGGAATGTTTAAGAGATGAAAAGGAAAATAGTAGTTCCTTCGCTCGAAGAGCAAAGCAGGTACTAGTTGCAGTTATTGTGGCAATCGCCGCATATATTGCTGGGAAAGGCTACTTGGAAACCAGAGTTAATACTCCATTTGATGATCATAAGGTATGTGGATGTGAGTAATTTATTTGTCAGAGGATACGGCAGTTACTGTCATAACCTAACCTAACTAACCAAACTTGCTGATAATGAAAAGATTGAATGAATGTTTAGTTCAGTTCATAAATTATAATTATAAATGCCTCTAATTCTAACAAATGATGTAACTTACAGCTAAGAATTAATGGCATTCTAAGCAAAATCTCTGACAAAAAGATAGTGTCACCGATGGGATTCGATCTAGACACCTCTTGTACATCAGCCGAGTAATGTATCCACTACACCACAAACAGCGATGGCTATACATCGTATCGTTATGGTAATGGTGTTCCGGGGCCCCACAACCCGGTAACGTCATTTTCGGACGCTTAATAACTTAAATCACTGCAATCACGCCAACATACTTGATGATTCACTGCCAAGTTATTGGTAAATTTCTTACTATTACAGTGCCTTCCACGATTACCAAAACAATTTTATCATTTCCCACAAAGTTATCACAGGTTTTCTATTACCTTACCGTACCTCCTTGGCCATTGCAACTTCAGAAGATTTTTGGCCTCGCCAACGATGCTTCTCCACTCTTCTCTATTCTCCACTGCCTCAGGAGTAGGCCTAGTCCTAGTGCCCAACACACCACATCCTTCAGCACCTGACTCCTCCATCGCAGTCTCGGCCTGCCAAGTGGTCTTTTGCCTTTTGGTTTGTTCTGGTCTACAATTTTTCTACACAACATACAAATTTGCGATTAACTTACCAAATAAAAAATAATATCGAAAAATAGGTTACCATCACCTAAGATAAAAACCTAAAATAATGGTTTAAACGTCTGTATAGGGGTTTTCTCGGATGCTCAACTCATTTCAACACTCAAAATTTACTTAGGCTACATTAGATTTTGAGGACATATGTTCCAAGATGGCCGCCAAAAACTCTGTTTCACTCCCTTGTTAGTTGGCTTAAAATAATTACTTAAATGTCTGTATAGGGTTTCTCGGTTGCCGAACACATTGCAATGCTCAAGATTTACTTACATTAACTTTTAGCTTTAGGACATATATTCTCAAAGCCTACCGTACTTAACAAGTTAACTAACAAGGGATATCTACGGAAACAGAGTTTTTGATGGCCAGGCATCTTGGAACATATGTCCTCAAAATCTAATGTAGGCTAAGTAAATTTTGAGTTTTGAAATGTGTTGGGCATCCGAGAAAACCCCTATACAGTCGTTTAAACCATTATTTTAGGTAAACTAAAATGGGAGATATGGGGCAAATAGAGTTTTGGCTACCATCTTGGATACCGCATTTCCGGTTCAAATTTCGCTTTGGCAACTTAACAGGCAGATTTGTACTTAGCAGGGTTGAAATACCCTAAAAACGTTGTTTCCCCTATTTTTAAATGAAATGCTTCTCGCATTGCCTTTTTTTAACGTGCCTGCTCTAGAAACAATTTAAATAATTTGATTATTTGTCAAATCTTGGTAGGCTAATTGTTTAAAAAAGATACTTTCCCAAACCACTAAAATAAGCCTATTGGTAAATAAGTTTAGGCCTAGTTTAGTTCCGTCAAGCTAGGTCTCTCAGAATAAGGTTACTGACAATTTGGCTTGATAAAGAGTTTGGTTAAGAGCTAAAATAATGAATTTGTAAATTTTACTGGAGCTTATTTGGGCGGAACTTTGCTCTTTGGAATTCGTTGGTATTTTAGAGTTAAAATTAAAAGTTTAAATTGATCTTCTATTTATTACCCTATACCCTTATATGACCAATGTTTGCTTGTATGTATGCTTGCACAAAGAGCTCAAAAACCGCTTTGACGATTTCCTTCAAATGTTGTAATTTATTTTTGGCCTAAACAGGTGTTCAATGCAGTTAAAACTGCCAACAAAAAGCTAATAATGTAAAAAAAAATGAAAATATAAAATTTTTAACATTGGGTTGCCAAGTAAAACCATGTTGGTTGAACAAAATAACAGGGGAAAAGTATACAAAAGACATAAAATGTGTACGTGTGCATGTTTGTTGGTAAACATGTGTTTACTGTGTTTAACCCTTAAGCCTGTGCACTCGTTTTTTTTACTCTGGGGCACATGCGGTGGTCTAGTAGACCCTCAAATAAAAAAGGGTAAACAAAGTTTTTGATAAATAATTAACTCTCTAAACTTAAATATAATTATCTATAGGTATTCATTTTCTCATTTTGATACGTAAATTTTATGATCCTACCATGTCCTTTTATTAATTTGAAAATAATAGTTTTAACCCTTAATTTTTTCATGATGAAATGTAATAATGGCGATAAAGAGGGGGAAATCGTAGTTGAACAAGTTTTATTGCAAGCAAGTGTTATTTTAAACTTTACAAAAGTATAATCTATCTATTACTTATTTAATACACAAGCAGGTTTTTTGTGACTATTACTCCTCCGAAACTACTGAACCGATTGACATGTTTTTAGTGTCATTGGAAAGAGCGTAACATGAAGTTGGGCAGGAAACTTTCTTTTTAGGGAAATCATTAGAGAGTAAGGCCCTGGGGTCCTCTAAAGTTTCGTGTTTCTCCATAAGATTAACATGGGAAACAAACATTGTTATGAAACTACAGCTGTTGTCAGAAATTAAAAGTGGGAAGAAGAACATATATGTTAATTGTAAACAGTCAAAAAGTTTTCTAATTTAACAGTTTGCTACAAACATTTACTGACTTGGACTTAGTTGAAATTAAATATTTACTATTTGAATTTGGGTTGGCATAAATGTTATGGAAAAAAGCGAGAGATCCTGGATAATATGATACTAAAAAGAAAACTGAATTAACACTGTGCTGCATTTCTTAGTAGTCATTGAAAGAGCCCATTTGCAAACTATGGAAACATAGGAAAGTCATAGAACACCACCAAGGAGAAGAAATAGAAATAATGTTTTTTAAGAATTTATAATCGTTATTATGGACAACCCAATGCGGCTATGAGTAAGGTTATGTGTAGAAAACACTGAAAAACAAGATCAGCTTTTGAAAAATGATAAGATTATGACTGTTATTCGTTTTAATATAGGCCTAACGCCTGTAATACTTAGCAATTGCTCGAATTCGAGCAACAGGGATACTAGTACTTATTTAATACGCAAGCAGGTTTTTTGTGACAGTTACTCCTCCAAAACTACTGAACCGATTGACATGTTTTTGGTGTCATTGGAAAGAGCGTAACGTGAAGTTGTGCAGGAAACTTTCTTTTCAGGAAAATAATTAGAGAGTGAGGCCTGGGGGCCTTTTAAAGTTTCGTGTTTCTCCATAAGATTAACATGGGAAACAAACATTGTTATGAAACTCCAGCTGTTGTCAAAAATGCTTTTCTGCTATTTAATTTAATTTGTTTACAAGGAGAATTTTTCTTGGTGCCATGTGGTCAATGAATTATACTTTTGCATATATTTTAAATGCTGTAAACTATATAAAATGATAGTACTGTAATACATTAAGATATCTTAATTTAAATAATCAATAAGCAGGATTGAGCCTTTGCCTATATGTTTCCTGGTAAGTGTGTTGTAACTGTTTCTCTTAGTATATTATAGTATCTCTAAGTAAAACCGAACTATCCTGTTCTGCATTCTCACCCCGTAGCGAAGCACGGGCAGAGCAACTAGTATTTCTAAAAACCATGGAAGCAGTAAATATGTCATGAATTAATACATTTCCCTGCTTATAGAAAATAGGTACTCTAAAAAAAATATTTAAAAAAACTTTCTTTGAAAATGTTATACCTATGTTTTTCTTTTATCATCCTCGTCCTGTGCTTGGTTTAGAAATACTTTTAAACACATTTCACTAATATTTTATATTTGTCCCTGGCACATTGGGTTTTATACTTGCGTTTTTGTTAGTTGTTGGTCTTGGTGTCTTTTTGTCGTGGGCAGACAGTGCACGGCGCCTTTGCACTGGGAGGCTGGATCAGTTGATTCTATGGTTGGACATTTCTATAAAATTGGTTTACAGATACTACGTTTTTTGACAAACTTTAAATACTATCAAAATGAAAAATAATAAAGTTATACCCTAAAGTTTTTAATACTAATTATGATGACAAAACTGAGACACTAAGGCTACTACGCACAAGGGGGTACACTAGACCCCCCCCCCCCCAGGGCCGTCCCTAGGGTTGGTGGTGCCCGGAGCAAACGTGGTCGTAGCGCCCCCTCCTCCCCCCAGTAATAGTCGCATTCGCATATATGTAATACTATGTTAATACAAATAGCCGCAGCGAGGAGCCCCCTCAGCCGCACCCGGTTGCCCCCCTTCGGACGGCCCTGAGCCCCCCCAAATGATCACAGTACCGGTAACACAAGCACGCGCGTGGGGGTATGCCATACCCAGGGTGGTATTAACAGGTCAATGACTCGGTCAAGACTAACAATACTGGCTGCCAGATGATGGCATATACTATTTTAGGCAGCTACTGTTATGCTCACCAGGGTTGCCACCATACTTGTAAAATTATGACAAAATTGTCATACAAGGGGTGTTAAGGGTTAAAAGCCATCCACGGTAGGCTATACTAGTAAAACACCAAATACAGTGCAAAGGGAAAAACATCGGTAGCCTAGTTACTATTGAGCAAAGATATTACTAAAGATTACTCAATAGTGGTACAATGGAATTAAAGTACCGAGCCATGGCTGGGTCCCCAGGTACTTTATTATTAGCCTATTACCGTCTACATCTGTGGCATTTTCAAAGGGGAATTGGAGGTACACGAACACGTTTTGGAAAAGCTATTTGGATGTCAAATTTACCCTCTTTTTGGAAATTTTATCTAATACCCTGATTTTCATTGCTATTTTGGAATACATATTAATGGAAGCTGCTAACTCGTTAGTCTTATATGGGTTCTTATACCCTAGGCCTATATCATTGCTTCTTTTTCCAGGTTGTGACAGAAAGTGGTTTAATGGTTCCAGATCGTTATTGGGGTTCATATAGGCCTGGAAACTACTTCGGTTTGAAAACGAGAGAACCTCACTCTCCAGTTTTTGGATTGATGTGGTATTTTCCAAATAGAATTGGTCCAGAAGGTATAAGTATACGGTAAGAAATTTTAGTGTCCAAGTTTCTCTTTTCTTATTTGCTAATTTTGTATTAACTTTTTGTAATTTTAGCGAATTTCCCATATAGGGAGTAAGCTATTACCGTAGTACTCATGGTAAAACCTAGACCCGGGACCGATTTAATTTTTTGTTTTTAGGTCCCTAGAAGCCAAAAATACCATCCGTTTTATAAATATATATCTGTCTGTAAGCACGATAACTCTAGCAAAAGTGATCCGATTTTGATGAAATTTGGTGTAAACCTACATTTATTCAAACAAATTTGCGAACCAGCGTAAATTACGTACGTAAATTACTTTTTCCCATTTTTGAGCCAAAAAACATAAAATTTTGCAATTTATTTCCAAACCATTTTGTGGAGCTTAAAAAAAACAATTTAGTATATTGAAGCGTTGTTTTGCGCCTAATAGTTAAGGAGAAAATTCCAAATAAATTTGTAATTTAAAATTCCTATGTTATTCTTGTGGAGAATAAGTAAATTGTTGTAGTTTGCTTGTTTATGAACATATTTTGATCAAATTTAGAAAATGCATTTATTTCTGACTAAACTATTAACATTTTACAAAAAAAAAACTTTTACCCTCCCTTTTGCAGCAAACCTAAGTACTCATTAAACTAATTATTTTTAAATAGGGAATAAATGTGATATTTTTAAGTAAACATTTTAGTGTAAATCCAATCAGGCAAATAGAAATTTGCTTAGTCTGCAGGTTTGTTGTGGCGGGGGTATTTTCTTATTAGCGAATATCCCATGTAGGGAATAAGCTATTACCGTAGTACTCATGGTAAGACCTGGACCCGTGACCAATTTACTTTTTTTGTTTTGAGGTCTGTTGAGCCCAAAAACACCATCCGTTCGAATTCATATATGAGTGAAAATTTTGAAACACACGTTTTCAGGAAAAGCACTTAAAAAACTATTTCTTCCGTTTTTTCAAACTTTTATTATTTTTTTATTTCATTAACATTTGAAGTTTCATAAAATGTCCATGGTAACGCAATATCTTCGGTGATTTTTTGTTAATAGAGCATCTTTGATGGAAAAACACGAAATTTCGTCACGACCATCACGGACATAAAACTGAATATTAAAAATAGTTAATAATATTTTTATAACTATGTTTTGCTATAAATTAATTTACTTTTAGGGTCATCATACAATAAACAGCTCACTAAGCTTTTGGTATATTTGGTCTTTCTAGAAAAAAATATAAAAAACTCAAAAAACTGAAAAAAAGGCAAAAAAGTCATTTTAAGTTTGTATAACTGCGATAAAACTTACCTGAAACCCAAAAAATCGTTATGTTTTTATAGAGGTGTGCTTTTTTGTGTATAAAACATTGAAATATGATGATATTTTAATTTTTGAAATTTATATGATAGAAATCGTAAACGTGATCGTCAGGGACAAGCGGTACGGTCGTGAATTGTCTGGAATAATCTAAATCTTTCAAAAAAATCCTTCAATTATACTGTACTGTTAGTTATAATAAAAATATGTGATTCAATTGAACTAAACTGTTCAATTTACAATGATATTTAAGTTATTGTCACGACCAAACACACTATAATCCATAAGGCTGGATTGGTCGTGAAAAAAACCCACGATGGTCGTGAAACTTTGGTCGTGACATTACGTGTTATTTGGCTCCGTTCTGGCGGTAGCCCTGCACCTCATGTTCGAGGATACAAAGTGGACTTCTAGGTTAATCTAGCAATTGAAATATCTTATAAACAAAAATTAGCACCATGCCTACTTCATCAAATGACTACGTTCGGTCATGGAGACACCAAAATTAAAAAAAAAAAAACTTGCCTTTATTAATCTTGTAATACCTCCTTTCAACTCGAAACGACCGGCACTACAATCCTGACGTACACCCCGAACTAGTCTCTAAAACCAACTGACTCTATCGACGCCAGGCTTGCCACTGTCGTGCTCCAAAGTTGCAAATTTTTCCCTAATGGTCGTGACGTCAAATCGAGGGACAGAGCTATTTAGTCATGGTAGTCAGTTTACAATGAAAACAAAATTATCATTTGCTCCTTTTTCGTAAGTTTAATAACTATTGATGTAATAAAAATATGACATTATATATTTTGGCATGAATAATTATTCTAAAAACAGTGTGAAAGTTGCAAAATGTACCCTAGGGACACGTTATGGTCGTAAGTTTCGAGACTTTAAAAATGCGAAAAAAAAATACCTAGAACCTATTTAAAGCCATATAATTGTGTGTAACATGTTGCCCGTGTCCCAAAAAATATTAAAACACATAATGATAAACTACATATTCAGTATCTACGAAGTAAAAGGCCAGGGACATAAAAACGTGCGTTTCAAAATTTTCACTCATATATTTATATACTCGCCTTTGGCTCGCTGGGGCTTTTTTGGTTGGGGGTAAATAGAAATGGGCCATGGCGCAAGACCTGCAATTGAGCCAAATTTGAGATCTTTAGCTAGAAGTGGGTAAAATTGATTTAGACCGATGCACCTGTAGGAATAACATTGGGGGTGGGGGGATTCTAATTTTCGTGGGGGGGGAGTTATATTTGTAAAATGTCGCTTGTCGAAAAGGGCGCAAGATTAACAATCATGCCAAATTTCAGATATCCAGTTAATCTAGAAATGGGTAAACGTGATTTAGACTTATGCACCTGTAAGAATAACATTAGGGGGGGAGGATTTAATATTTGGGGGGGGTTTGAAAATAACACGCCCCCAGGCCCCCTTTTTTGGTTGGGGGTAAATACAAATGGGCCATGGCGCAAGACATAACATAATAACATTGGGGGGGATTCTATATTTCGTGGGGGGGGGGGAATTATATTTGTAAAATTTCACTTTTCGGAAAGGGCGCAAGATCTACAATCATGCCAAATTTCAGATATCCAGTCAATCTAGAAATGGGTAAACGTGATTTAGAATTATGCACCTGTAAGAATAACATTGGGGGGGATTTAATATTTGGGGGGGGGGGGTTGGAAATACGATAGGGGGATAAAACCTTAAGTAAACCAGAGTAAATCTATAGCATGAACGGACCATGGGTACGGGGATTTATGGTGGTTTTTATGGGGTAAATGTTATTCTCCACAAGAATTACATGGGGCTCGTAAAAACTTTCAAATTTTGACATTAAACCTAAGTTTTAGGGGTCAAGGAGTAAAGTTACGAAAAAACACGTAATGTGTTAAATTTAAAGTAAAGTAAGGAGAATACAAAGCAATATTAGTTTTAGCAAAAACAAATTGTTTAAGTATGAAAAAATGGCGAAAGCCGGTAAAAATTTTAAGAAATTTACCAAATTTTGAAAGTAGGGCGTTTTTTGAAGGTTAAGGAATGCGATTTTCGGAAAACGCCTAATAGGGGTTGTAGGAAATTTGATTCCCGTTCGTGAAAATCCTTTCAAATCTTTTCTATGTCTTACCGTTTTCGAGCTATAGGCGATTGAAAAAAATGTGTTTTGTCGTTTTTAGAGGTCCGCCATTTTGGATTTTTAGGGTGGTTAAAATTTGAAAATGGGACTTTTGCAAAATTCACCATAAACTTATGATCCCTTACTACGATTCCCTACTACTATAGTACCAAATTCCAAGTCTCTAGCACGTTTCTAAACAATTCATATGACCATACCAAAGTCATTATATTTCAATCTTATTCTCCATAAGAATAACATGGGGCTCGTAAAAGTGGCAAAAAATCTTTAAATTTTCAGATTAAAATTAAGTTTTGGAGGTCAAGGAGTAAAGTTACGAAAAAACATGTAATGAGTAAAATTTTAAGTAAAGTAAGGAGAATACAAAGCAATAATAATATTTGCGAAAAGGAATTATTTAAGTATAAAAAAATAGCGAAAACTAGTAAAAATTTGAAAAAAATTTACCAAATTTTGAAAGTAGGGCGTTTGTTGAAGCTGAAGGAGTGCGATTTCCGGAAAACGCCAATGAGGGTTTTGTAGAAAATTTAATTTCCTTTCGCTAAGATTGTTTCAAATCTTTTCTAGCTCTTACTGTTTTCGAGCTACATCCGGTTGAAAAAAACATATTTTTTTTGTTTTCAGAGGTCCGCCATTTTGGATTTTTGGGGGGGTTAAAATTTGAAAATGGGACTTTTGGAACTTTCACCGGTAATGTAAGATCCCATACTGCAATACTACCAAGTTTCAAGTCTCTAGCACGTTTATAAGTGGTTCAGATGAGCATACCAAAGTCGGCATTTTTCAATGTTATTTCCCGATTTTGATGAAATTTGGTGAAAATGTTCGAGTTTGAGAGAGAGGTAACGAGTTCACAAACCAGCATGATTTATGCAGCATTTTATGTGGTAAAAATTGGTTTTCCCATTTTTGACCCTAAAAACATAAAATTTTGCAATTTATTTCCAAACCATTTTGTAGAGCTAAAAAAAAACAAATAATTTACTATATTGAAGTGTTGTTATGCGCCTAATAGTTACGAAGAAAATTAGAAAATAATGTAAATTTAAAATTCCAATGTTATTCTTATGGAGAATAAGTAAACTGTTTTAGTTTGCTTGTTTATGAACATATTTTGATCAAATTTGGAAAATGCATTTATTTCATACTAAACTATTAATATAAAAAAAAAAAAACTGATAAAACACTTTTACCCTTCCTGTTTTAGCAAATCTAAGTACGGTACTTGTTAAACTAATGCTATTTAAATAGGGAATAAATGTCAATATACAAATCACAGACTGGTTAACTTTTAACAAAAAAATAATTTTTTTAGGGTTATATAATTAACTTGACTTGTTTTAATCGTCTTCATTCCCCAGCCATTGGTGTGAACAAGGGGACCGGTTGGAAAGGTACACTTGGATTAAGCATGATGGTCGCAACTTTGGAGTGCAGGAAATAGACGACGGGCCGGTGAGACTGACAACTTCATTTGTGAAGCAACCAGGAGGAGAACATGGAGGCGACTGGACAGCTCGAGTGTCTGTTTCACTTAGGGTTAGTAAATTACTATACATTTGGGACATTTCTATATCACTTGCTCCAACATTCAGCTGAGAATTACATCCTACTATACACTATAACTTAGATTTATATCATATAGATGAAGTCAGTAGCTTTTTGATGGTTCGAAACTGGACCCAGCTGTTCCTGATCATTGGGCTTTAAATAAATGATCCTGGCTAATGAAACAGATGATCTTAGTCAGTAACAAAGCTACACAAATCATCTCACACCATTCTACACTCATCCTTCACTCATATTTGGGTTAAAATACGCACCTAAGTGGCGTCCCCATCTTAATGATTGATAATTGATATAGAATTTATTCCTGTTTTTCAATGATTTGTAAAATCAAGCTGTCATCTTCAGAATGCTGAACGGCATTGGTCGCTGGGTCTGTGCGTATGTGGAGGTCTTGTTGTTGGCTGACAGTTTCAATATTAACTTTTGTAAATTAATATAAATAAAACTCAGTTATGAGCTTTATTGTGGCAACAGTGTGACTCAAGGAAAGTGGAAATTAGATTAGAATTTTTCAACGCTGGAACATTAGGAAAAGTGAACAATAATTGTTGAATGAATAAGATGACAGCTGTGTTACTGTAAGTTTCTAAATTAGAATTGTTATTCACTTTTCGCAAATCTTATATATGTACATTAAGAGCGGTTATTAAAAACTAGGTAAACCTAGATGAACTATCAGCTAAGGACATAATTAATAATCTTAATGCAGTGGGGGTAGAATCATAGATAAAACAGACTCCCTTAGTAGAGTTCTCATCCTTATGGAATAGCTGAAGTTTCTTGTTATTTCAGTAATTTAAAACCTGGTTTAACCAAATAATACAATCTAATTATAAACAAAATCTCATCCCTTTGTTATATCACCAAACAGAACTCAAATCATAAAATTAACCTTAAAATAATAGAAACAAAATTTTGTTGACACTAGCCCCCAGTGTCATTGTACCTGAACTAGACACAAAAAACAAGCTTACAAATTTACAATGGGATGGGAAGTCTACTTGTGTTGGTAAGTACTTGTGAAGTTACTTCCATGTACTTGAAGTCGGTCTACTTGTGTCTATGGTAGAATCATTGGTTGTATTAATAGTCAAAGATAGAATGAAGTGGGATGACCAGTGTAGTTTTTTTATTTACTACAATCAGCTGTTTCTTTAAATTTAGTTCCAATTAATTAAATATTTTGTCATATCAACAACACATCTTACACTTTTTTATGTCCACCTTCACATTACATCCTGGGAAGCTTGGTTCCAGTCCGGGAGGAAGATAAGATTTTTTTTCTCGAAAAGCCATAATTAGCTAAGAGCCATAAATTTAGTACATTCTGGCAAACCAAAAGGCGTACCTAATAGTGAATTGTATCCTATTACAGAAGCAGGGAGCCAAAGCAGAACCCATTGCCCTGCTCCTGTATACGGCTCTGGACACACATACGCAAGGCCGCCTCAGTCAATACCCTGGCAGTGTGCTTCCTGGGATGGTGGGTGAGACAGACAAACTTGGGGCCTTTACTATCAAATTGTACAATATATCTGGTACAATAGAATACGAGTCGCACCTCGCAGCCCAAGGTAAAGGTCTGCACTTGCTGAAGGAAGTGGTAATGTCAACTATGCGACTTGTTACTGTCAAAGGTGTCAAGCAGATACTCTTACCTGGTGACATTACTAGAGGAGTTCCAGCTAACTTCACAGTTACATCAGTCACTACTCGAGTACCTTTTGAAATGGATGTTGTTTTTGAATCTGGTAGCAATTTTAATAGACCAAACACATTGACCGGTCAAGTATACTATGATTTATTGCAGAAAAATATTGAAGAGTTTGATAATAAATTTGAAAGCATCTTTAAATTGAAGCAAAAGGGATTTCAAGAAGAAGAAATTATCTTTGCTCAATCAGCCTTAAGTAATCTGGTTGGAGGAATTGGTTACTTTTATGGATCATCAAGAGTAATATCTGATCATTTAGAACATCCTGTTCCTTATTGGAAGGCTCCTTTATACACTTCAGTGCCTTCGAGAAGTTTTTTCCCCAGAGGATTTCTCTGGGATGAAGGATTTCACGGTTTATTAATTGCGTCGTGGGATCTTGAAATTGAATTGGACATCATGAGTCATTGGTTCGATCTTATGAATGTTGAGGGTTGGATTCCCCGTGAACAAATTTTAGGTGTGGAGTCTCTAGCTAAAGTTCCTGAGGAGTTTGTAACTCAAATAAATTCCAACGCAAATCCTCCCACATTTTTTCTCACATTAAATTACATAATAAAACACTACGGAGATAGGCTAGTAAGTGAAAACCGATTGGGAACTTTAGAGCGCATGTATACCAGATTGGTGAAATGGTTTGATTGGTACAACACTACACAAACAGGTGAATTACCAGGAGCGTACCGATGGAGAGGAAGAGACAGCAAAACCAACTTGGAACTCAACCCCAAAACTCTGGCATCTGGCTTAGATGACTATCCGAGAGCTTCTCATCCCACTGTAGATGAGCGTCATGTTGATCTCTTTTGTTGGATCACTCTTGGAGCCAAAGTTTTAACTGAAATTGCTCTTTTGCTGAACAGACAAGGGGAAAAGTATGCTAACACATTCAAATATCTGTCGAACAATCAGCTTCTTGACCGGATGCATTGGTCGTACAAGAGAAACACCTATGCTGACTTTGGTCTTCATACAGACGAAGTGATATTAGAAAAACCTCCGCCCTCTCCCAGGCAACATGGCCCTCCCATCTCTCAGCCGTACCGTAGAGTCGTTATCAAGGATCCTGAACTCCAGTTTGTAGACTCTAACTTTGGATATGTAAGTCTGTTTCCCTTGTTCCTTGAAATTTTGGACCCAGAATCACCAAAGTTATTAACTCTTCTAAAAGATTTGAAGAACTCCGACTATTTATGGACAAATTACGGTCTACGATCTCTCTCCAAAAATTCTCCCATTTATATGAAAAGAAACACTGAACACGATCCACCATATTGGAGAGGACCGATATGGATTAATATGAATTATTTAGCTTTAAAATCTTTAAACCATTACACTCAGGAGAAAGGGCCTCATTCAGACTTAGCAAAGACATTATACGATAGTCTGAGACAAAACCTCATTAAAAATATGTTGAAGGAGTACAAACGCTCAGGCTACGTGTGGGAACAGTATGATGACAACACCGGCCTCGGACAAAGAAGTCACCCTTTCACTGGCTGGAGCTCTCTCATTGTTCTGGTCATGGGAGAGATTTACTAAAACAAATCTTCAAACTTGTTGTATAATCTATTTCTATGAATTAGATTCAAATGAATTTATTTACGGGTGCATTGTCTTTTACAATCATGTCTAATTGATAAACAGAACACAAGATACTGACTTGTTACTTAAGGTTTGAGTTTTTTAAATACCTGTGATATGTGCAGCTATTGCACTATTATCCATCTGAAAACCCATCAATAATATTTCATATTGTCATAACCCACTGAATTAAAGACTAAACTTATACTTCGTTCACAATAATATTTATGAGGTTTGAGGGGAAGTTCCCCCACAACTATTTGGTATTTATTGTATGTTGCTTGTATGTTGTTTGTTATCTTACTTATGCTATTATTTTAAAGGTAAGGGCCAAATAGAGGGGATAGATTTCTTCCCTTAAAATCGCCTAAATATTGTGAACGAAGTATATAGTTCTGGAATGAGATTAGGAACACCTGTACAAAAAATGTTTTTTTTTTGGGGGATACCACTTGACAATTAATATTTCTTTACAGACTATTAACTATAAACCTCACAAACGTACAATATGTTTGCACATGGTTCACATTGATATTGGAAAGTTAAGGAAAAAGTCTTTGGCCAATTAATTTACAGGATTAAAATCATAGCCTAGATTAAGCAAGCATAGCCTACCTACTTAATTGAGCAATTATTGATGTACCCAGTTTTAAGAACAATATTAATCAACATGATGGTTGCCTTTGTTCTTGAGTATATGTAAATAAAAACTAATACACATTTTGCTGCATGGTGCAGCATATCCAGGATCTTCACTAAAACACTAACTTATGCAAAGAAATGATAGTACCTATTTTAAATAATTTTTAAAACATCAACTTATGAAAAAGGAAACAACCAAGTACACATCAAGTACTCAAGTTTTGTAACAGGATAAAAATTCGACTTGTACTATTCTAAGTCATTGGTAAAAACTTAAAATGTACAGAAACCTTAGGATATTTGCTGCAATAGTGGATTTTAAAGCCAATTTGAGTGCCATAGCAGTAACCCTAAAAAATAGTCTAATAAACTACTAGCTTGACTAGTCAATGCTACTACACTGTTTTTTAGTTTAACTTCTCTACAGTTTTATAAATTTGTATTTATGCTCATGATGGTTTCACATTTTTTAGTAACTCTGTGCATTGAATTACAAAATAAGACCTTTACTGCCTCAAAAGTAACATTGACAAAATGTCATATCTTTTATCAAGAAACATAGGAGTATTCACCATAACACACAATCCTTACTTTGCTTATCTGTTTCAACCTATACAATCTTTCAGTTCTAGTGTCCACAAGATGATCCCTTCTCAGAACTTGTAGGTCAAGACCAAGCCTACACATTTAACACTGTTCAGAGGTTTAGCCGATTAAAAACATTGAGCTATAGTTATGTCTGAAGGTTGAACTTGGTGAGAGAAATCTGGACCGTTTTTGACTTAAATTGCCAAAAAGTTTTTTCCCATTTTCTGTCTATTTATTCTAATTTTATTTCATATGTATAATGGGTTGAAATAAAATTACAGTTAAAGATTTTCTCCTGCCTTCCTGTTAAGACACTTCTATTGATTTGGAAATTGGCTGAAAAACAAGTTGGCATATAGTAAAATTATAACATAATGGTTTATTGGTATAAATTGTGTTTTATTGGTTGGAATGAAGTTTTCTATTTATAGATTAAAATATTCACAGTGTATGCCTTATATATGTTTCAAAATTCAATACTCAAAATCCCACCTCACGACACCGCTACCAAATCAACCTAAGCTCTTTTTTGGAATCAAACTCTTATTCATGTGCTACTTCCATGACCAGAGCCTGTTTTCTAAAAACTATAGTGTATTGTCACCACTATGTCTGTAATTTCTTTTTTCTCTTCTGCCTGAGATTCCAAGCAACAGAAGCCTCTTTGAGGCTACTCTGAGACTCCACCTACGCATCTTAGATAGCCTCCTTGTAAAACTTTGCTTCCTCTTCCTTATCCTTTGTCATGACATTTTCATATTCTACACTGATGATGATGCCTTTCGACTTGTTGCTGTTAACACTTTTTAGTTGTTGTGCTATTTATATTCTTATTGTATTGTAATTTGTAAATATTGTAAATAAAATGGTAAATAGAATTTGTTATACATTTTGTTAAATTGAAGCTCAAATAAACTTTTAAGACATAAGACTTTTGAGATACAATGTTTCCTATGATAACATCTTTCATTAAATTGGACATACAATGAAATGTATTGCTAAGACACCAGTTTGTATAGGTACAGTAGGCCTAACCTTTTCACGAGACGTTACCGATAGGAACACCCCCACCACCGCACCGTTCTAAACGCTTCTGAATTATACCGAGCACAGCCAAACTGTTCGCGGCAAATTGTTATCTCTATCACTGTCGCTGTCAAAACGTATCGTTTATAGGTAAAATTCAAATTTAATTTATTTAAACTGTCATAACCTTTGAACCAAACTTGCTGATAGTTAAAAAGTCGAATGAAGGTTGAAAAATCGAAAAAATAGGTCTGTTCATAAAATAAAATTATAAATGCCTCAAATTCAGTTTTATAATTTTTTAATTATAAAATTAAATTGTCATAACCTAACCAAACTTACTGATAATGAAAAAATCTAATGAAGGTTTACTAATCGAAAAATAATTCTGTTCATAAAATAAAATTATAAATGCCTTAAATTCTAACAAAAGATGTACAGTTAAGAAGTATTCTAAGCTAAATCTTTGACAAAAAGTTAACGGCTCCGGTAGGATTCGAACTGGATACTATCAGTCTATCAGCCAGGTACGCTATCCACTACCCCACCGAGGCTTATGGCTTTACTCCGGATCGTTGCGTTAATGGTGTTCCCTCAAGAGAAAAGACTGACGTCACGCCATCGGCATGGTGCGGTGGTGGAGGGTGTTACGATCGAGAAGGCTTAGCAACCTATTCTTAGCTTGGTGTTGGTAGAAAGTGTTCACAATATCTATTCTATATCTATCAATATCTATTTTATACGTAATGCCTTTTTTGTGAACACTACTCCTTCCTTATTTTTGTGGACCAATTTCAACGTTTGAGGTGCCATAATATTCGTCTCAATTTGTAGTTTTGCAATAAGGTTTTAGAATTAAAAAATTCTTACCCTTAAGGGCGCAAGGAGCTCTCTAAGGAAGACTTTTCCCTACAAGAATTACACAGAACAAACTTAAAACAAATTCATTTATAAATAAAAATACTACGTTTTTAAAGACGTAGGGCGCATGCAATAGCTAATTTAAAATTACCTTCAACCGTTGAGCTATTATTATCTATTCTTCTATTGCATGCACCCCACGTTTTTCGTTTTAAATCTTACAAGTATTTATTCTCTCCACATATTTATAAATTATTTTCTAATTTTTAGTCTTTAACGTGTAGGCCTAATTACTTATTTTATATGGCCTGTTAATACATAACCAAAACCTTATTATATGTAATAAGATGTTTTATGTTTACTTTGAAATGTTTGTCTTATATTTAGAATCTCTCGGGAGCAGAACCTGTACCTCATCTTACCTCTGCTCTTCAGACTGTCAAATTTAAGTATTTACAGTTGACTTCAATAAATTGATATATTTGTCTATGTACATTCTTCCAAAATGTAAACATTGAAACTTTGGAAGCCCATGGGGAATATCCCAAGGGAAATTTGAAAATAAAATGATTTAATATTGCAATGTCATCAATTTGTGGGCTATGTTTCAAGTTTCAAGTCTCTAGCTCATCGGAAAGTTAGTCTAAAATCAATTGCAAAATTTGTACCGGACAAGAAAGCGAGCTAATAAAAACGAGCCCATGGGGCATAGCCCAAGGGGAATGTGAGAATAACATGATTTAATATTGCATTGTCATCCATTTGTGGGCTACGTTTCAAGTTTCAAGTCTCTAGCTCATCGGGAAGTTGGTTTAATATCGATTGCAAAATTTGTACCGGACAAGAAAGCTAATAAAAACGTTTTAATTTTAAAAACAGCTGTTAATAAAAAGAACCTCAGTAGCTTTTTTGGGAGCAAATAACTTATTGATGTTTGTAATATTCAGAAGTTATTTTAATATCAATTCAATTATTACTAGTGTACCTGTTGCTCGAATTCGAGCAATTGCGAAGCATTACAGGCGTTATTTTAAAACGAATAACGGTCATAATTTCCGATGACTTTATAAAAGTCGACTCAAAGATTATGGAAAGACTCACGATGTACACAACAGATAGATATTATTATTATTATTTCTTTGTCATGAGAGCTGAAGCCCCCTGACTACGTACCCGGTACCTATCGTGAGACATACCCGGGCCCCATGATGTAGGCCGAAGCTTACGCATCAACCTTTAGCACATCATGGGCGGATGACTTAAGGTCATCAGGCTCGCCGGCTGCCGAAGCAGACCCTTCGGAAAGAGGGTTGCCCCTCAATCCTAACCAGGGATTCCGGCTGCTTGTTTAAGCGTCACTCCACCTGGGTTCCACCAGGTACAAGCCCCAGAGGACCATAATGGAGCGCCCCGACGCATTTAGTGCAAGCAACACTCGGGACCTATCTAATCCCTGACAGGCAGAACCCGCCATCATAGCCAGAAGGAAGGGGACCGTCAGCAACCTCCCATTTACACCACTACCCGATCGAGTCCTTACCCAGTTGCTGGGAAACCAGAGATAACCAGAGCGATAGATCCCCAGATACCCCTGGCAGGCTCGGACCCAGCACCCGATCTACTTCGTTTGCCCGTCAGACCCAACATCACTGCCAGGCCATCAGGGTTTCCCAAAAGGAGGCAGGTATAGAAGTGGGACCCACCCGGATGAACCTATCCACCAGAGGTGGCGACACCCTTGACTCAATTGAGGTTCCGGGAAGAACCCCCCACACTCAAGATAACCATACCGTCCGTGCTCAGAGACAGGGATTGGTTTGCATAAGTGCCTACAAACCGTTACCCTCACACTGCGGAAAGTTACGTTGCCCTTGAGTGTCCCCGTGAGCTACGGGTACTTGCCCGTTTTCACCTCCAGGAAAGGCTACTTCCAAAGTCGAGGATTTGCCACACTGAATGCTGGTCGCACACAACAAGCAGGCCGAAACCCAAAGAACCACAGACACAGGTAGGTTAGAGAATATGATGCACTTCCATCTCTCCTAGAGCTAAACACCCCTCCATCCTGGATAAAGGAATGTCACTGGGACCCAATGCCCAATAGATATAATTCAACAATGTTCAGCAATTGGGAAAAACAGTTCTTTGGTAACTGCTTCACAGATTCACAACAAGCCTTTGATATGCTTTTTAACACAATAATTAACAACCTATTGCAATTTTCTGTAAAAAAAAATAAACTTCATAAAAGTAAAGTAAACAAAAAATCTGGTTGGTTCACCAAGGACTTAAAAGCTATGAAGGAAAGAATTGTGTTTCTGAAGAGCCTGCTGAAAACTTCCAGCCAGCCACTTTTAAATCTTATGAATTATTTAAATGATTATAAAAAAAAGTACAGGCAATCTTTGTATAAGGCTAAAAAGGTGTATAATGCCAAATATATCGAAGAAAGTAAAAATAAATGTAAAGCGGCCTGGAACATAATTAAAACTCATAGTTGTGGTTTACATAAAGCAAACAACCATCACATTGCACCTGATGTCTTTAATACCTTTTTTGTAGAAAGTGTAGCAAATATTAAAAAACAAATTGGTAACACTAAATTTACTTCCAGTGATTTTCTAAGAAATACAGTTATAACCCCAGATCTTTTCCAATGGAAACTTGTAAATCCTGAAGATATTATACGGGTTGCTAAAAGACTTAGTAATTCAGACAGCTGTGATGTATATAATATGAGTAACAATTGTCTAAAAAGTATTATTCCTAGTATTTCAGTACCCTTGGCATATTGCATAAATTTTTCATTGATTGAGGGAGTCTTTCCAGATCAGTTAAAAATATCCAGGATATGCCCAGTTCATAAGAAGGGCCCAAGGAATGAACCTTTAAGCTACCGCCCAATTTCAATAATTCCAGTAATTTCTAAAATATATGAAAATATAGTTCATGATCAAATCTATTCCTTTTTTGAAGACAATAAAATTTTCAATCATTGTCAATTCGGGTTTCGAAGGGACAAATCAACAGTCCAAGCTGTAGACAAACTAGTTCGTGAAATTATTTCTTCCTTTGAGACCAAGTCATATGCCCAGGCCACCTTCTGTGATCTTAGCAAGGCATTTGATTGTGTTGATCCAAATGACCTAATAAAAAAATTAAATTACTATGGAATTACAGGCTCTGCTCTAAAGCTCATAAAATCTTACTTATCTAATCGAAGACAAAGGGTTTACACTGATGGTCTCTGGTCTCAAGAAATATCAATAAATGTGGGTGTGCCCCAGGGTTCGGTCCTGGGTCCACTTTTGTTTTTAATATGCATTAATGATCTCCCAAATTCAGTTAATTCCTCAACTATTCTTTATGCAGATGATACAACCTTTTTCCACAGTAATAATGATTTTGAACAGCTAAATTTATTATCAAAAAATACCCTCACCACATCATCAGACTGGTTCAAAGCAAATGGGTTTCTCTTAAATGAAAGTAAAACACAGAATGTTGTTTTCAGCCTAAGACCCCTCCCTAATAGCGGGACTGATATTAATATCGCAGTTAATTCGGTGAAATTTTTGGGCATAAAAATAGATAGTACTCTTACCTGGGGATCTCACATTGATTATATAACACCAAAACTATCAAGAACAATATTTCTCCTAAGACGCCTGGTTCATTGCTTGGAAACAAATTCTGTTAGAACTGCCTATTTTGCCTACTTTCAATCAATAATTAGATATGGATTAATTCTCTGGGGTAACTGCAGTAGAGTGGATGAAATCTTAATTCTCCAAAAAAGAGCCGTTAGGGTTATCGCTGAAACTGAACTTGATGAACATTGTAAACCTCTTTTTGTTTCAATGAAAATTCCTACTATTATTAATCTGTATATCTTTGATTTAACTGTATATGTAATAAATAACACACAAATACTAAAATTCCATGAACACAGATATAATACTAGAAATAAAAATCATACTTCCATTGACTACCATAGGCTCTCAAAATCTATAAACAGCCATGTTGTTGTAGCTCCAAAGGT